AGAGAGTCACTTAAGGTAGAGGGTTATTGAGTGACGTTGTTGTATGATCACAAGGCAAGAAGATTATGTAAGAAAGAATTTTACAAGACAGTCCTTCTCCCATTCAGCCACAAGGGCTACAAATTACCTACAAACCAGCTTTTGAGTTCTTTCCATTCTTAAAGTTTACTAATTATCTTTAGTCTGAATGAGACCACATTCTGAAAGGTTTGCTACAGAGACTGTAAGCTACAGGAATGACCATGATGGAAGATAATAATAATAATAGCAATAATTTTATAGGACTACACAATACACAGAGACAGAACAATCAAAGCTAACCACCCAGACATTGTTATTAGAGATCGCACACAAAAAAAGGTGCCTCCTAATTGATATGGCAGTCCCTGCAGATTGCAATGTATCTTTGAAGATCTTCAAAAAGCTATCAAAATACAAGGACCTTGAAATCAAAATCTCAAAAATGTGGCACATGGGAACATCAACAATCTCCGTTGTAGTTGGAGCCCTTGGATTGGTTGGAAAAGATTCCAGTAGACTAATTGAAGGGATTCCTGGGAGCCCATGCCTTAAAGAAATACAAAAAAATTGTTCTCACAAGTACAGCCCACACCTTACAAAGGGCTTTAATAGTTTTTGGTTTTTTTTAGTGGAAAATTTCATGATGCCATTTCCAACCTTAGGTCTCTTGGCGGGACCCGGAACGAAATGTGTACACACCAGAAATCAAAGGAAATAAAATAATAATAAAGAATCCCATTGCTTCAGAAATCTGTATTGCTTTGCACTATAAATATTCTGTGAAAAGTGTTATCTGTCTGAGATGGAGAAAACTCATAATGCAAGATCTCCAGTTGAAAACAAAAAACATTCAAAAGAAGAAAGAATAGTAATAATAAACAAAATAATGCCTAGAATCTCATCACTTCAGAAGTCTGCATTACACTGCACTACAAATATTCTATGAAAAATGTTATCCAAGTATATGACTTGACAGAGAACACTCATAATGCAAGATCTCAAGGTCAAAATGAAGAAAAATGCAAAAGAAAGTATAATAATAATAACAACAACATCATCATGTCGATGTTGAATATCGTGTTGCTAAGGTGGAATTCAGCTTGTAGTTTGCCATTGTTGACAAGAGTCTTGTTTTGCAAACATGAGGTGTAAAGTTATTAGGAAGAAACCAGAAAATCTGAGATAATCTTCACACATTGAATATTATCAGAAGTCCTTTTCTTTCTTTCTCTCTCATTTTCTATGATGACAATCAAATAAGAGAGAAAGAAGTTTAAAAAAAAGTTTTTGCCATTTGTTATATCAAAAGATGGCAAACAAATGTTTTTGGTAAGAAATGGCTTTTAAAAGATGATACTCAATTCATACTTCATATATATATATATATATATATATATATATATATATATATATATATATACACACACACACAGAAATATAGTTTTAAAGTGTGCTATATTTATGAGATAAAGTGCTCAATATCAGAGATGGGCTGCCTGACGATTATGTCTAGTATGAAACAGCCCGTGGCCTCTGAGTGTTGACTTCAATGTTCACTTATATATATATATATATATATATATATATAATTTGGTTGGATTGATGTAAATTTGTTACCCTGGGTTTTACACTTTTGCGATTGTCAGACAAACTCATATATTTTATATATATATATTTAAATTGGGCAGTTCAAAAGTTGTTTTGGTAATTTTTTTAAATGAAAAAAATTATTGTTTTGTTAAGTTAAATGAAAATTATTTTTGTTAGAAATTTTTTTATTACAAAAATTATGAAAAAAAAAAAAAAAATTTTTATGATTAAATTTTGCTCTCATCAAAATAGCCTTCTTTAGCCTTGATTACTGCAGCACAAATTTTTGGCATTTGTTGCAAAAGTTTTTAAAAGTATAAGTTTGATAATTGATTCCTTTCTTGTTTATCAATGACTCTAAGAGCACTTTTTTATTTTATTTTATTTTTTATTTTTTTTTGCTCTTCTGTCAATTTCATCCCATGTGCTAATTCTGGAGATGGCTTCAAACTTTTGAACTGTAATGTGTGTGTGTGTGTGTGTGTGTGTGTGTGTGTGTGTGTGTGTGTGTGTATATATATATATATATATATATATATATATATATAAATAAAAAATAATGGCAAAAGCACACTTATCTGCTAGGGAAGCTAGTCAATTTCCATTGCAGAAACTTGCTCAGGAACATTTTCATTTGTTCAACACCCACAGAGCCTATCTGAGCATATCATACTGCAACTATGGTGAACAGACCTTATTTACAGTTTCTTTTTGAACAAGGCCTGTACTCTCAAACCCTCAGTCACAATGACTTGTGATTTTGTGCTAGCACAACCATCAACAGTTTTGTCTACCCAATTTCACTGACAAGACTTAGGTCAGCCCACAGTATAGGTTTTAAGACACTTTCCAAAGATACCACACTCTAGGATCAGCAGACCAAGCTGATAACATCAAGAAGTCACATCCTTGAAAAATCAAATATATATGTCTGGTTGAATAATAATCCTTTCCTATTCACAAATATTTTTATGCATATTACAATTAAATAAGGCAAAAAATGCACTGTAACAGTGAGAATCACTTTTATTTCCCAAGTACTTTCCATCTCTTTCTGAGATCATCATCAGGGATGCTACTGGTAAGGAAAAAACAATGTGTAGCTATCCATTATTGAATTTTTTCTTTTGCATTTAAATGCTATGACTGACAGTTATGCTTTAGCATTCATTAGAAAGTATATAGTTATCCCATATGGAATTTTTTCCTTTATGTTGGAATGTCATGGTTGAGTGTGCATTAAAGTGTGAAAACTGTTTTTTATAGACACTTTAGAACATTATCACAGTATTTGTATCTAATTCTATTCAGTGTCAGCTTAATACACAAATATGTGTGTGCGTGTGTGTGCACTTATATTTATAACACAGTCAAGTTTTCATGTTGGGGAACATATGTCAGATGGGACCAAATCAGGAGAATATGGAAGGCGATCAATCAGTTCAAAACCACGATCATGCACAGCAGCCATTGTAACCAATGAAACAAGACCGCTTTGTTTCCTAGGTGTTTGGTCATGATAGACTTTCATAACTGCCTCAGTAAGTTGTCATAGCACTCTCCATTGATGGTGTGGCTCTTTTGAAGATAGTCAATAAACACAATGCCTTTGGCATCTAAAAAAAAAAACGAAGCTATCATCTTCCTTGCAGATGAAACAACATTGGCCTTCTTTGGAGCAGGTGAGGAGACTTGTTTCTATGGCAGGCATTGTCTTTTTGTCTCTGACTCAAAGTGATGAAACCAACATTCATCCTAGGTTAGGAAATGTTCAAGGAAACCAGCTGGATCTGTCTCAGACAATGTCAGATTTTCCCATGATGTGATCAACCTGATGCATTTTTGACCAGCTATCAGTAGATGTAAGACCCACCAAGCAGAAACCTTTGTCATGCCAAGTTCATTATGCCAAATATTCTCAACTCACTGAATATGCTAATCACATTGGCTATTTGATTTACAGTCTGTTGCCAGTCATCCATCACCATGTTGTGAAAATGATCAATACTTTCCTTGGTAGTGGCAAATGCAGAACATCCAGACCTTGGGTCATCTTCAAAACTATCCCTTTCTCTCCTAAATTCAGCTGCCCACTTTTGCACTGTTGATACAAATGGGGTATCATTCCCTAATGTAGCAATCATGTCAGAATTAATGTCTTTGAGAGATAAACCTTTATTCTGCAGGTACTTGATAATATCATGATGCCAAATTTTGTCCATTTCCAAGAGAAGCTGTTACTAGTTATTTTTGAAGCCACCTTCATACATTTAGAGTCTTCTTTGAACAGTCAGATATCAGTTTATCTGGATAGAAACAACATAGTTACTCATAAGAAGATTTGAAATTAATGTATGCAAGATTTTAAGTCTCTAGCATCACTCCTTCATAGTCCGCCTATAAACTTTTCAGCCCACTCTTTTGATACACATTGACTCCACCAATTTAGCAAAGTTGAAACTAATCCTTTACTTGAAGTAAAAAAGATACATAACAGATATTTTTGATGACTTATCTCTCTTTTCTTTTTAATCAAACAAGGCAGGAATGCCACTAGTATGCATAGGGTTACAGGGAGTGAAAGTGAATGAGAAAACTTAGTATAGGGACGATTGAAGAAAAGACAATAGATGAAGGGAATGCAGGGAGACAGAAGATGGCAATTGGCATTGCATTTAAATTTTTGATGATTGTAGTTATCAGGGAAGCAAGTAAGTGGAAGGTAGGAAGTGCAAGAAAAGAAATTGTTGGAGTAGAAGTTGCATTTTTAACGATTTCAACAGTAAAAGGGTGGGACCTAGATGTCAATCTAGTCAGTCGGTTATGTAGCATGCACGATACATGCTTAGGCAATCATGTAGCTTTTGATACATGACTGACGAGGCAGATTTTTTTTCCCATAGTAGGTTGCCATTTCTTTCTGCGGTAGACCAGTTGATATCCAAGGCTACAGAACCCGGTCTACCCTGCTTTTTACCCATAGCTGGGGGTAGAAAAAGAGGATTCATACCTTTCCCAAGGGTATTAGCACATAAGTGAATCTAATGAATTCGACTGGAATTCAAACTCAGCGCTCCAATTCCTCAGTCCATGTCGCTATCCATTACTCCACCATGCCAATCTAGTAGCATACTTAAATTCATGTAACTTAATTTTGGTGACAATATCTAATCCATAGTGGTTTCAATAAATTCTTAAGATAATTTTTAATAAGAAAATACAACATTGAGATGTTCAAAGAGAACATCAAATCAGTGTGGCTTCCAGTGCAGGATTTAGAGAAAAAATTTGGAAATTAGAAGTTGAAATGATAAGGGGAAAAAGAATCCCATTTGTATGAAAAAGGTGGATCATTAAGCTTTAAAACGAGAAGAAAAACAAAAACTCACCTTACGAAGGTCAGGGCCATTTTTTAAATACCTGAGGGAAGAAAAAAAAAATTTAAATAAATAAAAAACATGAAATATGATTCAATGCAAAAAAATGTCTGAAGAACTAAGAAAAAATAAAGGATACGAAATCATTATTTTTAAAAAGATGTTATAAGAATTAATACTTTTGTTAAAACTGAATATAGAAAAAAAAAGGTTAATTTACTTTTTAAGCCCCACACTGAATATGTAATAAAAATTTGCTGAATAGTTATACTTAGGTGTAAATTTACATGCTTAATTAAAAAATAACAATGAAATTTTGATAAATCTAACATTTGGGAGTTATTGACAATAGAAGTTCGGACTCATTCGCATCACGGCAGCCATTACTGGCGTTGTTTGCAGATATTTGCTGCAGAATAACCTTTTTTATTGGACACACAGTGTTTCCTTAGTTGTGCAGTAATTCAATCAAGTAAAAACCGTAAAAAGGCTGTTAACAATGTAATCTTCCACACAAATCTGATCAGCAGCGAACATATGCAAGCAGCACCAGTAATGGCTGCCATGCCGTAATGCGAATGAGTTCAAACGTTTATTGTCGATAACTCATAAATGGTAGATTTTTTCAAAATTTTTTTGTTATTTTTTAATTATGTAAATTTACACCTAAATATAACTATTCAGCAAATTTTTATTATATATTTAGCATGACACTTAAAAAAAAAAAAAAAAAAAAAAAAAGGCCGAACAAGCAATAAACAAAGATGCTAGAAAAACAAAAAAGAGGGAAAAAAAAAATTCTATTATAATTGTGCTTGTACTGCTCTTCATTAGTTACTCCGACAGTTACTACCTGTCAATACCTTGTAAATAATAGACTATTCCACGTTTTGATTGCATGCAAAGAGGGAAAAAGACACTACTTGGTTTCAGTGAGAAAAAGAAAGAAAAGAAAAAAGAAGGGAAGATAGAAGTGGAGAGAGAGAGAGAGAGAATCAGATTAATCTGATGAGAACAGATACTACACTTTGATCTTAGCCAAAAGACTGAGAAGCAATGTTTATTTAAAATACATTATTTTTTGACACAAGGCCAAAAAAGGTTAGTCTACACTGTCTTTCCTACATCTAGCTAATCTGACTTGCAACCCATTCACTCCAACAATTTCCTCAATCACCACAAGAACACATCCTTCACCACCCAATCCAATATATACCACAATACTACATATGCACTGCTGTCCTACTAAAACACCCACAATGTACAAACATATATATAAACGACACATTTCACCAAGAAAACGTGGAGATAAAGAGATATATTTTATTATTTAAACATTATTTTTAGTAGATACCCATATTTGAGTAGACATTCCGTTTATTTATTAAACTGTATCCTATTATAAAGAGAGAGGAAAAAAAATCATATTATAATTCTGCTTGTCGCACCCTTCGTTACTTAGCACAACCATTGCTCCTGTCAATACCATATAAATAATGGATTATTCCACATTTTGATCACATGGGATGAGGGGAAGACATTACTTGGCTTCAGTGAGAAAAAAGAAGGGAAAATGAAAGAAAGAAGGGAAGATAGAAGTAGAAAGAGATAATCAGATTAAGCTGATAAGAACAGACACTACACTTTGATCTTGGTCATAAGGCTGAGATGTAATGGTGACTGCAATAAATTTGCCACTTTTCAGACACACAGTATAGAACAACAGAAACCGAATAAGGTAATTGTCAAAAATGCAATTACAATAAATTAAATAAAATAACAATGTCTGCTGAATTATTTTTAAATTATTATTAACAAAAATGTTTGTAAGATGGGGATTTAGCTAGAAAGGAAGAAATAAAGGAACATAAAAATGTTTAAGGTCTCCTGCCAATACCTCATAAATAATGGACTATTCTGTTCTGTTTTTATGCATGAAATGAGGGAGAAAAGCTACTAGTTGATTTCTGTGTGAAAGTGAAAGAAAGAAAGAAGAGAAGATAGAAGCATTTAATGGCCGTTTCAGTAAAATGGAAAAAGTTGTCAATTTCAAATTTTTTTTTTTTTTAAGTGTTTCACCCCAAGCACACAAGGGGTTACAGAGAATTGGAGTAAGACCAAATAGGAGTGATAGAGGAAAGGATGAAGAGAAGGATAGGATGAAGAGAAGGATAGGGGATAGATCAAGGCATCTGGAGACGTTGATTGACATTACATTTGAATAGTTGGAGATTATAGCTATCAGGGAAACAGGAAAGGGGGGGGTTTCCACAGGCGAGATGTGTGAGAAATGAAGCTATTGGCGTAGAAGAGACGGCTACATTTAACAATTTCGACAGTGAACGGGTGTGAACAAAATGCCAGCCTAGTAGAACGCTTAAATTCATGAAGTCTGGGAACCAGTGAAAGCAGCTCATCGGAGTAGTTACCATGAAAGTATTTGTAAAAAAGACAGAGGGAGGCGATGACATGTCTCTGAGAGAGCGACTGCAGACGAGATGCCAGATCAGGGCCAATTACATTGCATATCCGTCTCTGGATCTTATCAAGAACCTTGAGACAAACAGAAAGGGCACCGGACCATATATGGCAGCAATACTCCATCTTTACATTTCTACCCACTTTTTAAAATAACGATCAGCATTCATATTTAAGATTGTTATTGCAATATTTTGTTAAATTTAAGTTCAAATATTTTGATTTAAGTTCAAATATTTAACAACAGAATAGGGAAAATTCTATGTACATTTTATTGCCGTAGAACTTGCCATTCATTATGTAAACACAGATCTTTTCTGGTCTAATCTTAAAGGCTAAAAATGTTTGTCTATCTGTCCAATAGTTTGTGCTTGGATTAATTTGACTCAACATCACAAATTTCTAAAAACCAAAACATTAACCTAAAATCTTGTGTCATGTTCTTAGATAGCCTTGTCAGATTGAGACCTTTATATGGATGTCATGAATAGCATCAAATCCACCCAGGATTAAACCATGGAACATTAACCTTGGGGATTAAAGTACTGATATATGAATCTGGTGACATAGTAATTGTGAGTTCAATCCCTGGGCCTCGCAGTGTGTATCTGGACTCAATGGCAACACGGCGAGTAATAATTAAGCGATAACTAGACAATATATACCCAAAGACATGGTCAATGGAAGAAAAAAACAATCCACCCCCATAGATCAAATAGTTTGAATTTCCCTGAAAGTTAGTCATATCAAGAAGCATCCGATAAAGGCCAGAACATGTGATAATAAAATCAAAGAAAAGGACAATACTTCACATGCAAATAATAACTTCTCATCTCAAAAGAATCAGTCATGGATATAACAATAGACGACATCTGGAAGCAAGGCCTCTGATCAGGAAATTGCAGGGTTTTGAGGAGCATAGAACCATCTCTTAATTGCTGTTGTTCCCGTGTTCACCCTGACTCAGATTGGTAACACCAGTTAATATCCTATGTATGGGCAAATAGTAAACCCCCAAAACAAAAACAAAACACTAAATACCAATACATTTTTATATAAAAAAATTACCAACAATACAATTTTTAAGCAAAATGACCAGTAATGAATGTCGTCTGTACTTGAAGCCATAAAATTGTGTCCAAAATACTTAGATTTCAGCATTAAATAATCCATAGAGATTGATATGCTGCTAAACAAAATAAACCAAAAGAATCCAAATAGAAAAAGAATCACAATCTGAAAGCATGTAATAAATCATGACAAGATTAAAAAGGACAGTGAAAGAATTGAGAAAAGAGCAAATAATAAAAATAAAAACCTTTGTCATGCCAAGTTCATTATGTAAAATATTCTCAACTCTCTCACTGGATATGCTAATTGCATTGGATATTTGATTTACAGTCTGTTGCCAGTCATCCATCACCATGTTGTGAAAATGATCAATACTTTCCTTGGTAGTGGCAAATGCAGAACATCCAGACCTTGGGTCATCTTCAAAACTATCCCTTTCTCTCCTAAATTCAGCTGCCCACATTTGCACTGTTGATACATCTGAGTCGTCATCCCCTAATATAGCAATCATGTCAGCATTAATGTCTTTGAGGGATAAATCTTTATTCTGCACGTACTTGATAATACCATGATGCCAAATTTTGTCCATTTGAAAAGATTGGTATTTCAAATTGGGAATCATCACAATTTTTTACCATGAAAGTCTGTCTGCATGTCAGCTCAAGAGACTCCTACAAGTTTTTAAAAAACGGCCATTTCCAAAAGTAAAACATTTCCATTTTGTGCAAAATCATCGAGTCAAATAGCAATAGGGAGGATATGGTCAGAAAAAATCCTAAATCCATGGTCGTAATAAAAATCAGTCTCACAAGTCTAATGTCAGAAAAATACTGCAGCTGTAAATCAAAAGAGTAAAAATTCACATCACAACTAACATACACCTACCCCCTTTACCCACAAAGAGATTACAAACTAAAAAAAAAAACAAATTTACCATCCAAAGTTGAGTTCTTTTATTGGGATAAGAAAGGTTGTGATTGGTCAAAATTGGTAGGAAAGCACAAACAGTTACCATATCTCAAGACCTACTAACTACTAAAGTCAAACCAATCATTATTTGGATTTTCTTTTTTGACAGCACAAAAAATTAAAATCCTTTACTGAGGTAAGATTTGGTTTTCTTGACACATTCCTACCTGATCTTATGATCAGACAAGTGACAATCTGGAGTGGACCGCTTTAGTCTGATGCTTCTCCTTAGTGAGGCAATCGTAGTCTCTTTTCCATATGTGAGGAGTTATCAAGCTCTAAGGTGTCTGCAGAGTTATTAGTTAGACAGGTGTCTGCATTTGACAACAAATCAGATGCGCCTCTAACAAAAAATAATCTTTTGTTAATCTTTCTGAAGACAAACTTCTTGTTTCACTAAATTACTTTATTTAAAGGTAATCGTAGAAAGTCAAAACATTCAATCTATAATTGTATACAAAAATACTCAGAGTATTATTCTATTTGTGTACATTTCACTAACAAAATAAAAGATCAGGTAATGAAAAGGTAGATATGAAATCCTTGAACATTTTCTTTGTGAAACAGTCCATTCAAATACTTTTAAAATCTCTACTATAAAATATAAAGTGGCACAACATTGTGCAAACCTTGTGTAAAAATATAGACAAACAAGTTGTGTTGCAGAGTTGAATATTTTGAGCCATGTGATTTACAGCCATAAAACTGCCAACAGCCAATCGACAGTTCTTTAGTTAATTATCGACAAGAGGAAAATAAATTATGGGCCAAAAGTGTTGAATATTTTCAGTTTTATTTCCTATTATTTTTGCAGATAAATGATTCCTCCCTGAGGAAATGAAAGAATGCATGTCAGCTGTTTTATCAAAAGTAAATATCTTTTAATTGATTTGATCAAAAGTTTGATATGCAACAAACACACACGCAGAGAATTTTATATATACGTACAAATATAGAAAAAGAAAGTAAATAATAGAGGGAGATAAGGAAAGAAAAGGCAGAGAAATACCTATATACGTAAACATATAAGATCTGAAATATATATCATTCATTCAGAGATCATACAATTAGTATATACTTTGCTATTAAAAATTCCCACAAAGATTATAGAAATGTCAACATCTTTATATTTTTTTAAGACACAAAGAAAAGTAACCGCTTTAGGAGTATGATAGAATGGTAGACTATAAAAATGTGCTCAACACTATAATAGCAGAGCATTTGACAGCAGGCTTGTGCACTAATGCATGTAGTTGTCAGATGGCCAGTATTAGTCCTCAGGTGATATGGGCATTTAGGCCTTCTCGGCTAACTCAAGATGTTAAGATAAGAGTAACTGGTGAATACACATGATATACTCACCAAATAAAATTACAAGGAAGAAAATAATCCATAAAACTGATATATATGTGTGTGTGTTTGTAAAAAAAGACAATAGAAAAAAATGTAGTTTTAGCTGATGCGTTTTGTCCAATGTGGACTTTTTCAAAGCAAAAAACAAAATCAATTTATTGAAACAAAGTATCTATAAACAACAAATAAAATGTTGTTCACAGAGAAGAATTTAGAAACACTGTTGTATATTGATATATTCAACTGAAAAATGACATCAATTACTTTATGTTTGAAGAGAATATTTCTATTACAACCAATATGTTCACACTGAATGAAATACGTCGGCTAAAACTACAGTTTTTCTATTGTCTTTTTTCCTTTCTACATATTTTCTTTTTCTACAGGTTTTTCTTTCTTGTTTTATATATATATATATATATGTGTGTGTGTGTGTGTGTGTGTGTGTGTGTGTGTGTGAGAGAGAGATAGAGTATAAATAGGATATAAAAAGAAATATGTGTGTTTGTGTGTGGATTTTGTTTGGATTCTATATCCTATTTATACACATATTGTCGACATGGAAAACACAAAGATATATCTATACTTAAACTGAAAAGGCTATATGAATCTTATTTTTGAGCCATTCTGGAAAAATTGGATGAGGATTTATACTAAATTCACTGCAGAAAAGCTGGGAGAATATAAAGATAAATTTCAACAAAATGAGAAAAACTCTAAAGAAAAAAAAATAGCTCAATTTAAAATAATGGCTTTCGAACAAAAAGTCACACAGTTTCGTTATTTCATCCCAACCAAGGGATGCTAGCTTAGTGGAAAAAGTATAAACAATTTAATATTGAAACATATATATATATATATATATATATATAACATTTTTATTACAATAGATTATAATGAAAACATTTTACCTCACTATACAAAACGTTTCATGTTTCAATACTATGATTGTACTTCTTCAAGTGATGGTAGATAACTTGTGATAAAAATGATTTATTAGGGAATTTTAAAAACAAATTGTTATCCTTTTTCGAAAGTTAAAGTTTTGACATTATGCCCCCAACTTTTAACTTCCAAAAAGGGTTAACGATTTGACCAACAAGGTCTATATAATATAAAATAAAAATAATGCTAAATATATATATATATATATATATATTATATATTTGTTTCTTTGTCTTCTATGGAAAATTTTCAAAAATGTAAAATGAAGTTTTATAAGTTGTATTTAAATAAAATCACTGATGAGATGTTTAAATTAGACATTGAAACAAATATGCATTTTTGTCATGGTAACTTACATGTACCAAAGAAAAAGTTTATAATAAATGTATAAATATATATATATATATATATATATATATATATATTTAAAATAATGGAACCCCTAATAATAACAAAGAAAATGCCAACACTCTATAATATAAAATATGAACACAGCCACACTGACCATGTATAGAAAATAAAACATCACTATAACTCTAGATACATACATAACACAACCCATACATTCAGTTAAAAGTAAAAATAAAATCATCCTTTATAATGGCTAAGAGTATAGTCAAAAGTTTCAGAAATGCAGAACATTTGAACAGTTTTTATACACTTTGTGTCCAGAAAAGAAAACACTTATACAAATACAGGAAAAATTAAATATAAAGCTTAATTGTAATACCTTGCCAGCCATCTTTAATGAAACATGTATAAATATAGGGATATATATATATATATATATATATATATATATATATATATATATATATATATATATATAATAGATAGATGGATAAATGTATCAAAATAAGAAAAATTGAACACCCCATCAAATGAAATTATGATTATGAATATAAACATAAAAATGTTGGGTGTAGGTGATCACTTCATGTAAATATATGGGTATTAGCTCCAGAAAAATAAAAACTTTTAGAAAAGAAAAAAAAAAAAAGCATGCCTATTCTAATCTTAACCCTAATCTTCAGCCCATGGAACCCATCTTGTGTATTTACCCAGGGGGAAGCAGAATTAATTTTATTACAAATCATTTTTTTGTGTCATATTCTTCCATATTTCTTGTACTTTCTTAATTCTCAACACAATAATAAAAGATAGCAACCATATTAAATGTAACATCCCTTCCTTCTTTGCAGAATTTCATCATTTACCAAGAAGCCATCTTGCTCACCATCTATGGTGAAATAAAAAAAATATAAAAAATGCAGATGAAACTAAAGCATTATGAAATAAAAATGCATTTTAAATATATATATATATATATATATATATATATATATAGATATATAGATAGATAGATAGATAGATAGATAGATAGATAAAAGAGAAAGAGAGAAATTTTTAAGGGATTAATGAATTTTTATTGCTATGCATTCCTTGAAAAGATTAAGTGAGCTTTACTTCATCATGAATGTGGTTATGTGGTCTAAAAGCATGCTGGTTTCTCCTCCATTAATGTGTTTCATAAATTATTTACATTATTCAGACTGTTATCCTCATCTTCATTGCCATAGTCACAACATTTCGGCTGTTATACGCTCAGGCCTTCTTCAGGTGATTGGAATTTCAAATCAAACTCATTATTTTGTCCACATGGCCTTGTGGATAAAGGTGCTAGTTAGATCCAGTGACCAGATCCAAAGAGATGTGAGTTCAATAGCAGGCTACAGCAGTTGACTTTGAAGTTTCACGTGAATCAAAACTTTGGGTTGCAGAGTTAATGGGAAATAACCGAGACATCCATAAAAGGCATGGCACGTGGAACTAGAACAATCTACCCCAGTGGACAAAATAAAGGGTTCGGTTCAAAATTCCAATCACCTGAAGAAGGTCTGTGCGTACAACAGACGAAACATGAATATGGCAGTGAAGATGAGAATAACAGTCCGAATAATGTAAATAATGTAAGTAATTATAATACCTCATCTCAGAGAGAGAGAGAGAGATGAATAATGGGATGCACATTCAAATCTTGTCGAATGGTACATCTTCTTTATTAAAGACTCTCAAAAACCCAGGCCTGTAGATGTCAATTGCACTGTTTAAAAAATAGAAATGTCTGCCCATGTAACCACTAATATAATGTTTATAGTAACAAGAAAAAATAATATATATTATATACTATCATAATATTAATACAATAATATTAAAGTAGTTATGAAATATCAGAATTTGATAATTATCTTATTATTATTGTATTAATATTATATTTCAGCTCTGCTGACTTCCATATCAAGCCTTCAGTTTATTTTATATTTTAAGCTTTTAACTTATTTTAAGGTTTAGCTTATATTTCATTACTTTTTTTTAACTATTGATTCAGTAGTAAATTTGTTTCATTTATTATTTATCTTTCTTTAGCAATAACAATAATAAAAATGTTCTCATTTATTTAATGATAATTTTATACTTTTACTCTTTTCCTATTTATTGATTCATTTCTATTATTGTCATTAAAGTAATAAGAAGTCAAAATGATACATTTGATAATAAATCATCCACTATCGATATCCAGTCTAAAATATATATGGTTGTTCCTTGTCATGGTAGAGAACTTGTTTGTCCCAGTGATCCAAAGAGCAAAGCCATATGTAGTTTCAACTCCTGCAGGGTCACTCATAGCAGTAAAGTCAGGACCAGACGGAACGCGACCAACCTCTGAAAACCCCAATGGGGGAATAGACAAAGAACTACACAATCTCAACGGCCAAACTGGCAGAAGAGGGCAGCAGCAGTCAGTCTAGCATAACCAAGGCAGACCTTGACAGACAAAGCATCCAACCAGGTTTTACCTATCTCAATCCTCTTTGAGCTGTGAGGTAGGGCCAAGCGTGTGGGCTTCCTCATCACACAGAGTTGTCCACCAAAATCAAATTTATGCGAATGGCCACATCAAACTCACTTTGACTACTCTTCAGGAGTAGGCTGGGCCTTTACAAACATCTCTGCCACCACCACTAGAGGGAAGAAAGAGAATAGGGAGAGAGGATGATGATCCTGATGCTCAGATGCAAGTGGATGTTAACTAGATGTGTGTGTGTGTGCGGTATTTAGTGGAAAGTGCTCAATATCTGTGATAGAGCTAATATGTGCGATTACATGGATAGTAGTTTGTAACCCTAGGTTTCATGCTTTTGCGATCTTCAGACAAATTGGTTTATTTTTTAAAAAGTAGATCTATTTATGCTTTATTTGTGTCTGATTATTTGTGTGTGGTGGTGGAGGAAAAAAATTTTCTTTGTTTGTTTGGGATAACAGTCACATATACATAAACACACATGCATACAGATGTATGTATGTTAGTTCATACATACACACCCATATTCATAACCTTGGGTTCGGCACAGTTACACATTCATACGTATGAACACATGTATTTACACAATTTTCACTCTATTTCGGTGTGAAATATGTAGCAATATTGTCTTAGTAGGCGGCAGCTGGGGATGGCTTTAGCATTTTACAGGTTGGCTCTTTGTGCCGGCAGACACACTCACATGTACTCACACATATAAAGACATTGACACATACACACATATGTAGACTCATTGATCTGGGTTTACTACCACCATGTGGGTTAAGTTGGGTTCCTTCTGTAGACATAGTGATGATATTTTTATTTTTTTACCACCATAACTGCAGCTGTGTTATTAACAATTGT